CTTTAGTCCTTGGCTCAACATGTTTTCCCTATTTTTTTCCCAAAACTTTTATAGTTTTACATTTAAACATATCATCCATTATGAGATTTCTGTTTTTAGGTGTTAAGTTTATCGAAGGTACATTTCCTCTCCCCCACGGTTGGTCATCTCTCGCACTGCCCGTCACTGAAGGTCAATTGCACCACTGTCAAAACGGCTAAGGATATTTGTGCTGGTTCATTTCTGGACGCTCTGGGCTATGCAATGATCCATGTTCTGTGAACACTGTGGCCTTTAACACTACCCCATACTCTTTTATTATCAATATGTAATAAACCTTCTTAGTGGAAGAGTAATTCCTCTAACTTTATTCTTTTTAAATTCATTTTATATAATCTAGAATCTTTACATTTCCACAATTAAATAAAGCTTGTCTATGCTTATTTAAAAATTCTTGCTGAGGTTTTGATATAAACCCCATTAAGCCTATAGATTAGTTTGAGAAGAATTAATATTACATGTTTCCAATCCATGATAGATGAGTATCTCCATTTCTTGGAGTCTTTTGTGTTTTATTATATCAGTATTTTGTGTGTTGCAGCAGACAGGTCTTGGGCATGTTTTCCTATATTTTTAAATATTTATATTTTATGTACATGAATGTTTTGCCTACATGTAAGTGTACCTCACGTGTGTGATGCCTGCAGAGGACAGAAGGGAGTTTCAGATCACCTAGAATTGGAGTTAAAGACTTGTTAGCTGCCAGATGGGTGCTGAGAACCAAACCTGGGCCCTCTGCAAGAACCACCAGCGCTCTTAGCTGCTGAGCCATCTCTCCAGCTCCACTTTGTCCTACGTTTAAATGAAGTGTTACATTGTGTTTGAGTAAGCACAAATGGTATTCCATCTTCTAGTTCAGCCTCTACTTACATGCTGTTAGTATGTGGAATACTATGTAATTTTGTGTGTTTTCTTATGTTGTACAACCGTGCTGAACCCATTTTTTCATTATAGGAGTTTTCTGTAATCTCTTTGGGTTTTTTTTTAAAGAAAAATTCTATCACTACAAATAGTTTTACTTCTTACACGTATTTCATGTGTATCTTTCTTCATTGCAGGGGTTAGACGCTCAGGTGTTCTGTTGGGTAACAGGTGAGTGCGCAGTCCTTCTCCGTTCACGGCTAGCTTCAGGGCTCTGTGGACTTGCTTCACAAGGATAAAGCAGCGGCCCTGTATCTTAGTTAGAACAGATGTGTTTTATTATGAACCAATGTTGAGTTTTGTCAGATGCTTTCCCCGTATCGGACAATCGTATCACTGGACCTCCTAATTCTGTGTTGATAAAGTGGATTACATTGATTGAGTTTCAAACATCAGATTGGCTTCATATCCTCTGACTAAATCACATTTGCTTGTGGTGTATTACTCATTTTATATATGTTTTTGGATTCAAATTGCTAACATTTTCTCGCGGATTCTCCTAAGTTCATGAGAGGTGTTGATCTATAGTGGTCTTTAACTTTCATACTGCCTTTGACAGTTTGGGCGTTATGATGCCCATTCCCTCTTCTCCTGCTTTCTGGAGGAGAGTATACATTTGCTATTATACAGGTAAAACTCAGTGAAATTCCACAGTAACACATGTATCTAGGAATCTCTTTTGTGTCAGGTGATTCTTAAATTAAAAATTCAATGTCTTCAGTATAGAACTGCTCAGGTTGTCAACAAATTGATAAAAGGCTTAGGCACGATTTTCTTTTTAATGACTAAAATGTATTACACAGGTTTACATAGGCCATTTTCATGGGGCTGTGTGATGTGCTTCGGACATTCCTGCACACCTCACTGTCCTCCTCTTCACCTCTTCCACCTCCCCTCACTTCCTTTGCTTCCCAGCTCCACATCTTTTATGCATATCTGTAAAGGCTAGGACCCTCTCTTACGAGAAAAGATACTTGTCTTTCTGACTTAATCCCTTAACACGATCATCTCCAGCTTCATCCATGTTCCTGCAAACAACATAACTTCATGATTCTTAAACAAAAGTCTGTTGTGTATGTACCACATTTTCTTCATTGTTGCTGGACACTTAGCTTGGTTCTATCACTTCCTGTTTAGGTGAGCAGTGCTGCAATAAACATTAAGGCGCAAGTATCTGAGTGGCACGCTGACTTGGAGCCTTTCAGGTAAGTACCTAAGTGTGGTACAGCTGGCCATATAGTGCACTTGAGGACTCTCCATCCTGCTGTCCATCCAGGCTGGTAGTCTGCATCATTACTAGCAGCGCATATATAGTCTCTTGCTCCTCGTTTTGACGACTGCCATTCTGACTATGGTGAAACACAATCTCAGTGTGCTTTCTGTTGCGCTGCTCTGATCACTAATATGATTAACATCTTCATATGCTTATTGGCCCTTAGTATTTCATCATTTGAGAGTTGTCTGCTCATTTCGTCATCCATTTATTGACTGAGCTGCTTGGTGTTTATCGAGTTCTTTGTGTACTCTGGCTGTTAATCCTGTCAGATGTACAGTGAGCTAAGGTTTCTTCCATTTTCAGTTTATCATTTCACTCAATGAACTGTTTCTCTTGCTATGCAGGTTTCAGTTTAACGAAATCCTGGTTGTTTCCTCTGCTTCTTCACTTTCTGGTGTATACTGTGTACTGCTATATCCTCTGAACGGATGTGGAGTTCCTCCAACAGCTCCAGACAGCCCCAACCCCCTGAAAAGGATCAGCTGGGAGTTCCACTAGAAACAAGCAACCAGGGAAAATAAAACAGGTGGCAATGCTTCCCAAGTCCTTCTGTTGAAGCTTTATTATCTTGAGATTAAGGTCAGGCAAAATGAGCCCCAAACCGAAAATCATAGACCACTGTCACCTGCAAATATAGATGAAGCGGCCCTTTTAAAAAGTTGAAATAGAACTCCTTAAAATGTGTGTGTGTGTGTGTGCGTGTGTGTGTAAAATCAAATGGGGTGGAAGGGATGCAAGGCTGGTTCAGTATTCAAAAGTCAATATTCAAAAATATTTAACAGCTCACAATAAAATCTCTCAGGAAACCAGGTTCAAGGAATGGAGGAACTGGTTTCAACTGGTAAGCAGCACCATTAATTAGACCCCTAGCTAAGGACATACGGGGCTTTTCTTAGACCATCATTAAAAACTGTTGGACACACACGCCTTGTCTTAGGAGATAAGGACAGTGTGCTTCCTTGGGGTGAAATAGGACTAAGCTTGCAGCCCTGGAGGGGAGCTGTGCAGGGATGGGTCAGGGAGTTAGAGAAGGGCGAAGAGGATGCCCGTCCCATTCTGTGTCCTGGGAAGAACGCTGGGCTTTCTAGAAACGCAGACATGCAAGTAAGACCTCAGTCACAGACCTAGAAGGTGAGCACTCAGGCCGGGTGCTTCATGGCTGTCTTCTCATATCGCGTGTGCCAGACATGTTCCCAGAACTCTGCAGTGCCCTCCTGATGTGTCAGGAGCTCACATGCTACCCAATCAGGATGGGCCCGGCCTGGCCTCCTGAGACAGGATGTAGGACAGCAGTGCTCCCAGTGTGGCCCAAGCCCATTCCATGTGCACCCCACATCTGGTTACACAGACGTCAGTCCTCCCAGGATCTGAAGCCTGACTACGTGTGCAGGGCTGGGAATGTGCATTCCCCAACCAGACACTGGCAGTCAGAGAAGATATGCTGGGCAGCCGGGGGTTTGCACCAGCACCCACTGCCACCAACTCTGCAGCACTGAGAAACCGGAACATCACCGGTTAGGGAGGACGAAGACACCAACGAGAGAACAACCCAGCGGGGAAGATGAGCACCGACCGCAAAGGAAGGGGAAACCTGGGTCTGCTAGCACGGTCTGTCCTGCTCAGAGAACGGCTCTAAGGGCTCCGGGACCCCCACACCGCTGGGCTGTGCTTCCGGCACTGGGGACCTCCCCTCCAGCGCGGCTCCACAGCCCCAGAGGGCCGGAGGTGTGAGGGGGCGGCTGTGATGGACGGCTGTGAGGGGCGGCTGTGAGGGACGCCTGTGAGGGCGGCTGTGATGGACGGCTGTGAGGGGCGGCTGTGAGGGGGGCTGTGAGGGGCGGCTGTGAGGGGCGGCTGTGATGGACGGCTGTGAGGGGCGGCTGTGAGGGGGGCTGTGGGGGGCGGCTGTGAGGGGCGGCTGTGATGGACGGCTGTGAGGGGCGGCTGTGAGGGGGGCTGTGGGGGGCGGCTGTGAGGGGCGGCTGTGATGGACGGCTGTGAGGGGCGGCTGTGAGGGGGGCTGTGGGGGGCGGCTGTGAGGGGCGGCTGTGATGGACGGCTGTGAGGGGCGGCTGTGAGGGGCGGCTGTGAGGGGGCAGGGGACGTCGCGGCGGTGATGGTCCTGGGGCTCTCCATATGGCACGGCTAGAGCTAGGAACCAGGCGGGAGCTGGGGATCCCCACCGAACGCGGCGCCTGGAGGGTCCTCTTCTCAGAACCTGGGCGGGGGTCGAGTCACAGGTTCCCCTCACCCCTCAGGGAGTGGCGAGCTCTCCTAGGAGTCCCCAGGCTCTTTCCAACGCCCTCTTCAGCACCAAGCTCTTT